TATCGTTGAATATAGCGGCATGAAAAAATATCTATTTGTCCATGAATTAAAATAATATTTAATGTGATAATTTGGACCAAATTCATCTTAGCGACGTTAGCACTCACATATTTTGATCTACACCCTACCTCAACACGGTCTAAGTTTGCAATATTGCATTGCACGGGATATACCTGTTGCAACTAAACAAATACACAAATTTCAATATATTTTGAACACACATTGCCAAGTGATGTCCATAAATAGAGTTTGCAAAATGGCCATAGAACGGATTCGAAGCCATGGAAGAAATTCGTGTATCATTGGTGGGAACAAGGATGTTGCATTTCAGCATTATTGGTCTTTTAGTTTCTGAAGAGATGATGTTTATAGTGTGAGGTAATATATTCAGAGAGAATTGAGGAGCATGGAGCAAGTGAAAAGATCAAAATATATACAGGACAAAAAATAAAACATCGTACGAAAACGGAACCTGTGTTTCGTCCCAATTCTGATTACACACATATACCAAATTTCTCACATTTGGAATAAATTTGTTGAGAAATGGCCATAGGGAATTTCAGGTGACAGAACGGTCCAAGTGAAAGGTAAAAAAGGTCTAAAGACATGTTTAACTACACATTTACCAAATTTCATTTCATCTTGAAACAAATAACTGAGTAATAGGAGTAAAACGTTTTCCAACAAGAATTGTTTGCTGTAGAGAGCTGCTGCACGGGGTCCAGCCTCTGGACAAGAAGGAAGGCAATAATGCTTCGATAGACGGAAGGAAATCCTGGTCCTCTGTATTTGTTATTTTCTTCAGATTTTCAGTGTGAGGCTGACAGTGTTTACATAACATGCAAAAACGTAAGTTGTGCGACGGAATAATCAATTATATATTTACATAGGGTATCTTATCACGGCACTTCATGCTCTTTGAACTTGTCTTTTGAAGAAGACGGTCTTAACTGTTGATCGGAAGCTGCTGATATCTTCCGATATTCAAACAGCCACTTAAAGCTCATTCATAGAGCAGTGCCAGCTCTTCTAATCGTTCTGTCTCTATACATTGTTGTCCATTATTGTTGTTTCTGGATATTATTAATACGCTCCATCCTTCCATCAGTTTTACTATGGAGTTAGCGAGAGTAAAAATCCATTTCTGGACGTCCTTGTAGTTAAGGAAGATACTAAACTAAAAACCGATATCTACTTTAAACCAACGGACACAGATCAATTCTTACAATTCGGTTCATGTTACCCCAGGCATACAAGAGCTAGCATTCCTTATTCACTTGCGCGGAGAGTATGCACCATTGTGTCAGAAACAGATAAAAGAGACTTAAGATTAAAAGAATTGACAGAGCATCTCAGGAAGCTAGGATATCCGCTTCGCGTCATGAATGACGCTATAGAAAAGTCGTTAAAAAATTCCAAGACATAGTCTCTTGAAACCTAAGGAAAAATCTGTTGGTGATCAAATTATTCCGTTTATATCCACCTTCAATCCTAATAACTGTGATTTCATGCCAGCTATACGGGAAAACCTCCCAATTCTACAGCAAAGTGTTAAAATGAAACAAGGACTAAATAAATTAAAAATTATAAAAATTACCAGGCAACCGAAAAATCTCAAGCAAATTCTTCTTTGTCCATCCAAATATTCTTGTACAGAGAGTGTATCATGTGTAAGTAGATGTAACACACCAAGATGCGGCACGTGTAACATCATAAGTGAAGGTACTACTTTCCTTTTTCCTAATGTTCGATGCTTAAGTGTCAGCAAACACATTGATGATTGCGGAAACGGGAAATGTTTGTTTCTTTTCCGTTTTATAAATTGTATACTAGTAACAAGCAGGAGAGACTGGAAAAAGAACAAATGTTTATCCAATTGATGAAACCCAAATTGAACTCTAGAATGTATTAATACATTTGTCGTTTCAATCGTAAATGTTACACTGCTACTTTACAAATACTATGTATTTTAATTCAAATGTCTTCCTACAATTGTTAAGTTACTTGGTGTCGTCGCTTGAGTGTGTAAATACATTATGACGTCACAGTTGTAAATTATGACGTCATCATAAGTATGACGTCATTAATTTTTCATTGTCAGTTATACTGAAGAGATGTCATGAGACAGTGAATGTACAATGTCTGAAACTGATAAAAGAAGACGTTGGACTAACCCTGACTTTATTATTTTTTTATATATTACAAGTACACCGAGTGAATATTTGCCTCATTTTTGTATATATATTATATTATATGTTTGAAATGACTTATTTATATGCTTAAAAAAGTGTTGTTAAATACTGGTGTCGAATTGTATATTTTCCTAAAAACGATATGTAAATAAATGTTACAATATGTTGTTGTTATCTGTAATAACTTAAAGATCAACTAGGTATCTAAGATTAAGCACTTGCACTACTTCAATGGTTTTGGCTATATTTGGGAACATCGATATCAATCTTTCGGTAACGTTCTTACATGCATTTCAGAATTTACATTTCGGCTAAAGTCTTCCTATGAACAAAACTGGCATGACGCCCTCCGAAACAGTAAAAAAACGTAAAGTTGCTCTTTGTATAAATGTCTAAATGTCTTCAGTATCTCGATGTTTAGAAAGTGTCTTGCAAAACTAAGATGTAGTTCCCATCTGTTAAGTATTGAAACTGGACAACAATGCAAACAACCAAGATGTGACAGAGTATGTTTACTGTGTAACAAATTGTAAAAAGAAGATGAGTACCATTTTATCCGTGTTTGCGACATATATCAATCCATCACGAACTAATATATACCACCAAAATTCTGTGTCAATCCTTCTATAAATAAATTTTATGACCTCATGTCAAGTAAACATGAAGATATTTTAAAGCATGTTGCAATGTATGAATATAAGTCTACATAACTAAGAAGAGCTGTGATGGAACAAAATAACTCAGTCCCTCTGTTGTATCGCTATGTGATATGTGCTGCTGGACGAATTCAACAAACATACTTATATATGGTATCACTGGAAGCTCAGGTTATTAAAAACATAATAATTTCATCCTTCTTGAATGTGTATTGCAAAAGCATTTTTATATTATTACTTATGTTTTCACAAACGTAATTACGAATGGTAAAAGTGGGCAATGTTAGATTGCAGATTTGAGAGTATATCAGACATTATCTATGTAGATCTCTGTCGTTAATGACCGGTAGGGATAGAAAACAAATTTGCCCCCTTATCTTCGAATTTGTTTTAGGGCATAGGTTTATGATAATCTCAGTGGATTTATTACTGATATATTTCAATAACATCGAGGACATTGTTGACATTTCTCTATATTTGTCACATAATCAACCACTGCTTGTACCGAGTGTGTTCACGTGCGCCATCAGCTAGAACATCAAAATGCAATTGTGTTGAGGACATTATCCTACTCGAACAATTCACCACATTGACATTTCAAACAATGGGTTTTTCCCAAAACTGAATGATACAAATTATATTAAACAACAGACATGTAATTTTCAATTCAGTTTTATTTACAAGTTGCCGCGCCTGCTTCAGAATAGGGATGACACTGGAGCTCGAATAATGTTTCAATTCGAAAGGCATGGGAGTTTTTATTACAATTTACCGCACTTGGTATTACAATTTACCGCAGTTTGTTACAATTTGCCGCCCCTGCCTCTCAACAGGTATCAGACTGTAGCTCGGAATATGTTTGAAATTGGAAGGGTGCAGAAACTGTATAAAATTTACCGCAGTTTCTTACAATTTACCGCACCTGCCTCCCAACAGGAATGACAGAAATTGAAACGAAATTGTTTGTTTTGTTTTCTTAAACATGCTGGAAGTTGGAATTGATCTTGATAATGTCGCACAAACACTGGAACTCGAATTCTGTTTTGAATCAGAAGGGTTGTGAGATGTTATTTCAAATTATCGCAATTGGTATTACAATTTGCCTGAGTTTGTTACAATTGGCCTTTTTTTCATTTCCTTAAACATGCTGAAGTTGGGAATTGATCGTGTTATGTTCCAGCAACACTGTAACTCGAATTCTGTTTGGATTAAATACAAATATCAACAACTTAATGTATACTAGTCTTTATCAATTCAGTCTTTTGAAACCCGAATTTTGATTTTTAAACAGCTTAGTCGCACATTTTTAACTTCATGAGTGTTTCTTTGTATATTAGCAAATGAATACTATTTTATTACAATTTACCACAGTGCAGTTATTACAATGTACCAAAGTGTTTATTACAATTTACCACAGTATTACATTTTAACGCAGTGTAATTAGATTGTACCGCAGGATATTACAAATTAAGTCGTACCAGTGTGACTCAACAGTCTGTCTACCAGATGACACCACAAATTTCACAGGGCAAACTTGTTGAAATTGACATAACAAATGATGTTTCCTTTTAAACGTGACATAATTAAATGAGGGTAGTAGCCTGTATTCCACACCTCAATGTCTGTAATAACATAAAAATATTCAACACGTCCATGTCTATAATAACATAAACATATTCAACACGTCCATGTCTGTAATAACATAAAGATATTCAACACATCAATGTCTGTGATAACACAAAACTATTCAACACGTCAATGTCTGTAACAACATAAAGATATTCAACACGTCCATGTCTGTAATGACATAAAGATATTCAACACGTCAATGTCTGTAATAACATAAAGATATTCAACACGTCAATGTCTGTAATAACATAAAGATATTCAACACGTCCATGTTCGTTACAACTTGAATATATTCAACACGTCCGTAAAGACACGAATGTTTTGAACACGTCAATGTCCGTAAGAACATGAATGTATTTGTCACGTCAATGTCCGTAACGACGTGGATGTATTCAACACATTGTCTTTCCTAATGTGAATGTCTGTGTAAACTTGTCACATATTACATGAGAGCCCCACATGACAAGAAGATCAAGCACGTCTTCTTGCCCCAGGGATTTTGCTGTCTTGGCTGCTGTCTGTCCTATTTAGTTCCACAACATCTGCGGACATAGTTGATCACCTCCACATCTCCTCCCTCAGAGGCCCAGTGAAGGATGTTATTACCAGCTTTATCCACGAGTGACACATCAGCTCCTTCACTCACGAGTAACTCTACCACTTCTTTATGTCCATTCAGTGCTGCCACCATTATAGGTGTCCTCTTCTGCCATCCTCTACTGTTGATGTCTACCATGTCTTGTGAGAGGACATACTTGACAACTTCCACGACTCCACCCTTAGAGACACAGTGAAGGATGTTGTCATGAGCTTCACCCACGAGTGACACATCAGCGCCTTCACACACGAGTAACTCTACCACTTCTTTATTTCCATTCAATGCTGCCTCCATCACTGGTGTCCTCTTCTTCCATCCTCTACGGTTGATGTCTACTTTGTCTTGTGAGAGGACATACTTGACCACCTCCACATGTCCTCCCCGACAGGCACAGTGAAGGATGTTGTCACGTCTGTCATCCACGTATATCACATGAGCTCCTTTACTGACAAGTAATTCAACTAACTCTCTATGTCCGTTCTCTGCTGCCAGCATCGTCGGTGCTCTCCCGCACTTTACTTTACCATCGATGTCCACCATGTCCCGTGAAAGGACATACTTCACCATCTCTACATCTCCTCCAATACAGGCAGAGTGAAGGATGTTGATACCGAATCTATCTTCGAGTGACATGTCAGCTCCTTCACTCACAAGTAACTTAACCAATCCTGTATGTCCTTCACCAGCTGCCAACATCACCGGTGTCCTACCAATCCACTCTTTACGGTTAATGTCCACACGTCCCTTGGACAAGATGAGTTTCACCCTTAACAGGTCCCCGGCTTCTGAGGCAATATGAAGTTCCGTGAACGATGGTGCTGTAACACAATGTTTTACTCATTTTGGACAACATTTGAGGTGATGACTTAAGCTGCAAGACATATAGGGGCGAGAAAGCAGGGATCTGTAATCATGAACATGTTCTTTTCTGCATATGTTCATTGGACGAAATAGTGATGAAAAACGGACAAATGTTGATTAATTGGTGTGCACTTAGAACGTGTCGAGAAGTGTAACTGAACATCCAACCATATGGCAACTTGTCCTAAATGCATGTCTATTATCTGGTGTGGTGCGGCAACGCGACGAAGAGCTCTAGGGGGTCAGCTTTTTGATACTGACACACGCGTGCATGTTCGAGTGGGGGCACAACGTTTACTGTTCAACCCAACTGAGGGAGTCTAACTTAACAGTTTAAGTAACAAAGATATCAGGCTTGGGATAATTGGCAGTCTCAGCAGTTGGATATACAAAAAAACAACCCTCTTTTGTTTCTCTGTTTGTCATTTGTTGAGGTGTATCAATATCTGACAATTGATGACAAATGTAATTGCACAGAGACATTGTCTCAGTTTGACCCTACACTAATCACACCTAATCAGTCTATAAAAGGTACCTGGACCGAACATGAGCACCAATTCGTGGAACTCAAAAGAAAGAAATGGTAATCGTCCCCGCCACTGCTTTTATTATTCTAAATGGCAAAGATACACATACTGCTATGTCAATTACAAGCACATAGTTTATATACATTATTGAGTGATCTCTGTAGAACTCAGTCGTATCATTATTGCCCACATACATATCTGTGCTGAAAGAAAGGAAGAACATTGGAACGAATAGTGTGAGAGAATATTCCTACAGAGAACACAAAGCTGCGATTTCTTCATACAAGAATGATGCAATGTTATTGAATTTATCTGGCATTCATTGTCATGACAAAACATGCAATTATACATGTTCAAATACACTTTTATGATGAAATTGCAGGACACAAATAACATGATCCCTCACAGTGTAATGAAATGACTGCTCTCTGCTACATGGAACTTTAAAATGTGAAGTTTACACCTGAACACTGAGGTTAAGAATTTGCAAAATATAAAAATATTTCCTGCATTAGAGAGCACCTCTACAACGCAAATAGGATACACGAGGCATAACAATTGGACTTGTTACTATTGATAGGTTACTATTATTTAATAGTTTTGTAATGAAGGTAACTCGATCCGCACTGACTCAATATTCCATTCCAAGTTCATATCTGTTATTGTACAATCGAGTATGCTCTTTCTACCAAAATTTCATTACGTTTGATTAAGGTTACACTATTCAAGGCCTCTGGAAAGCTTTTACAAAGGATTATGGTGGACATGGGGAGGACATTTTACAACTTTACACATCAGTGACAAGAATGATGTCGAATGCAATTCCTTATTTTGACTTGTACCATACGCTCGCTGTGACGGGTGCCACCGGTTTGGAACGATACGCTCTCCTATTCGCGAAAACCTGGAATCATTTCTATTTGATAGAGTTTCATAAACACATGCTCATGATAGAGTCAGAATCGTACAATCGACGCTGCTTTTGTGATAGATTTCTTATGAATATGGAAAGGGTTTTGTTGCTTCTATTATCTGCACTTCTTACCTTGCACACACTCCTTTCCACATCCCGTCTCCAAACATTGGGAAGTCTGATTGCAGAGCTCGGATCCACAGGGTTTAGTCGGGGTCTTTAGATAGCAATAAAAAACAAAACAAGAAAGAGTCTATCTATGACTTCTGTCAAAATCAAGTGAAGGTTTGTTTGTTTGTTTGATTGTTTGTTGTTTAACGCCGCAATCAGCAATCTTCCAGCTATATGACGGCGGTCTCTTAATAATCCAGTCTGGACCTGACTATCATGTGATTGATATCATGAGCATCAATCCACCCAATTGGGATCGACGACATGCATCAACCAAGCCAGCGAGTCTGACCACCCGACACTTTTACGACGAGCATAGTCGCGTTTTACGGCAAGCATAGGTTGCTGAACACTTATTGTAACCAGGATCTTCACGGGTCTCAAGTGAAGGGGTCACCAATGTTCATTCCAAAACGTCGCCAATAAGCATAGAATCGTGTACAATGTTTTGGATAATACGCAAACACGAACGCCGAAATGAAGCACGTTATCAAGCATGTGGAAAGTTCCAACACGATGTAAACACGATTGTTGCTAAAGCCAGCTGCAGACTGCTACTTGAAAACAGCGTCATCATCTTGAAGTGTTCACAGAGAACAGGGTCACTATATTGGTCAGACGACTACCAGAGACTGCAACACAATGGCTCAAGGAGCATTTGCGGTTGGAACTACCGCACTCTGACTGGGCGGAGCTTATACGGGTGATCTGACAGGTCAATATGACGCCAAGATAACACACAAATTTCATTGGTTAATGGGTAATCGGGTGACGCCATGTAAACACCCACCCACGTGGGCCGTTTGACAAGAAGGACATAAGTTTTAATGGTAATAAATAGCCATCAAACGATTCCAAGACTTTTCAACAAACGCGTAGGTCTTTGGTTTCAAAACCTACCTGTCGTCTTCACATCTTGATAAAATGATATTGTGGAATGTCAACGATTTATCCAACACAGTCCAACACGAATTATAGTTCTCCCATGTTCTTTGGACGAGAACGGAATACGTTTGTCGTGATGAATAAGAGCAGTGTAATTGAACAAAAAACATAATATGTATCACGACACCAATCGTAATCCTGTTGTGTACGGTATATCTGCAGTTTATGAATAGCATTTCTCACAATACAAACGGCAATCGGTGATTTCAACAGTGTTTGTTTTTCGTTGTGTTCGTCTTGCCTTCTTTGGCAAAGTCACAATTGTCCGAAGGCTTCTCAGGCCGAAGTCATTCGATCCGGGAAACTTGGCGGGTCCCAGTGACCCAGATGTCCTGTTGATCGGCATGCCAAGTCACATTTGCACAAGCTTATCCATATTTGTGTGTGTGTGTTTCTCCCGTCAAGCATCAACTAGAGAGCGGGCGGACGAAATAAAATATATTGCTTATTGAAAAATGTCTTTAAATAATTGGGTTAGTTATTTTATGACATTACAAAAATAATTTAATCACTTGGTACTAGAATCTAGTCTATGAAATAATCTATTGCTTCGGAAACGAATTGTTAATATAGAAATAATATTAGTAATATAGAAGAAAGATCAAGTTGACCTGGTTCTTTTATGACTGTGCAATGCTAGATCTGGTGGAATTTCTTTTATTAGATCTGTGCGCAATTTTCCACAGTGGCAGGAAAAATTGAGACATGAAAACCTTATATTATTTCGTATTTATGTATTGTTACTGTTGCATCAACTGAAACTGTTGTTGTGCCTCTGTTCTGATGTAAATATGTACACCACAATACACAATACACTTTGAATACAACTGCATTGAATGTGTCACATATAAACATAACCATGTTCTTTGCTATTTACAGCGCAACCCTAGATAAGCTCCGCCCACTGCGATTGATGCAGACGCCATCAACTCCATCACCTACACCGCTATGACCCAAACAGCCCCATCACCTACACCATCATAAACCCAACAGTCCTATCACCTACACCACAATCGTTCTAACTGTTCAATCACTTACACCACCATCAACAGAACAGTCCCATCATCTACACACCATCAACCTAATTCTTCAATCACCTACACCGCCAACGACAATCCAGTTCAATCACCTCCATATCACGAGCACAACAACAGTCCTATCACCTACACCACCATCAACCTAACCGTTCAATCATCTACACCATCATCAACACAACAGTCCTATCACCTCCATCATCATCAACACTGCAGTCACATCATTACACCACCATCAACACAACAGTCTCATCAACAACACAATCAACACAACAGTCCATTCACCTATACCACCATCAACACAACAGTCCCATCACCTATACCACCATCAACACAACAGTCCCATCACCTACACCACCATCATTTTAACTGTTCAATGCCCCTCACCACCATCAACACAACAGTCCCATCACCTACACCACCATCAACCTAACTGTTCAATCACCTACACCACCATCAATCCAAAAGTCCCATCACCTACATCACCATCGGTCTAACTTTTCAGTGACCTACACCACCATCAACACAACAGTCCCATCACCTACATCACCATCAACACAACAGTCCCATCACCTACACCATTTCTCTCATTCTCGCAATTTATATCGTGGTCCATGGCGTTCATCTTTCAAATTAGCAAAACGAGTTAAAAGGAGGCAAGATAATAGACAGCCCCATTTAGACCTAACAGTAAAATATTCATTAATGCATCCATTTATCAGCACACGACTTGATATTTTCGTACACTAATATTGAACATTTTGACTTTTATCACCAAATCCCCAAGTTTTGTCTTTCTATGGAATGATTTTTTCTGCTAAACTTTGCGGGAGTCAAAGATAGCTCGCTGCTGCATGATCAAAACACAATCGTTGTTTCTTAAATACATTCAGATCGTCATGGACAATTCATATATTTTCTTCCCCCAGATTCCACAGTACAACTTGTAAATAGATGGAGCTAATGATCCTCTATGAAGGGGGATCAGTTTGATCACTGCCTGTCGACTTTGGAATACAAATACACATACAAAGCTGGTGTACTCCCACTAGTAAGGGGTCTTTAAAGAATTGGGACACGCTTTACTTGTTCAATAGGGCCTTGCCACATTTGGCTCGGTGTAGGTACAAGTTATGATAATTAATTTTTCGTTGTGTTTATTGTGATCCCTGCATTCTGATTAGCTGAACTGGTCACCTGTTATTGCATTCATTTCCCAATGAATGTAAAAGGCTATGCCACGCCTACCGAAGCGGACTACTTTTATTATTACGGAATGTTGGAGAACCCAATATAAGAGTCCAGAGAATTCCCTTTCTGCTGTCCCTGTCATTTGAAACAGCCGCCTTCTCCCAGACATATTTCTGACTGTTGCAGTTCACGCCTCTTACCTTGATTGACAGGTCTTATCAACTTTGTTTTGATCCTTCTTTCCGTTGACTGGCTACATTGTGGGCGTGTCAAGTTATGTACATAAACTAAACACTCACCTGATTTATGCACACCTGGAACGTTTATCAATCTCGTCATTTTTGTCTGCTTTGATATATACACTGAATCGCAAAAGAAACGTCACCATGGAAAGATATAGAGGAACCTTATTTGTCCAAACACTGTAAACTTACTTTGAGAGATATTAAAAAGATTAAACTTGGCACAACTGATCATCAAGGTAGAAATTAAAGTGTCAAATGTTCTTAAAGTGAAACACTACACTAGTCTCTGAGAAAATGGCATCACAAGTCAGTATCTCGTGTGTCCGCCATGTGCACGATGACTTACGTGCAACGTCGATACATGGAAGGAATGAGGCGGTTGATGAAGGCCACAGGCACTTGAGCCCACACTCTGAGGCCTTGGTCGGACGTCATTCAGCCGTCTTTGAATCTCGTCCCACAGGTGCTCAATGGGTTTTGAAATCGAAACTGAGTGCAGGCCACTGCATGGTTCTGATGCCATTCTGCTGGAGTTAGTCTCTCGTTGCTCTCGCAGTGTGGGCACGGGCGATATTATGCTGAAACTGGTGGTTGTGGCGACGTGCCAGATGAGGTATGGCGTTTGATCTCAAGACTTGATCAATGTACCGAGCTGCTGTGACACCATTGCCTCTCCCTGGACCAACGTTCTGGAAGACCACAGGGCCGACCCTCTGTGCAAGACAAATTCCATCCCACACCATGATGCTCGAACAACCCCACGAGTCTCTCTCAACAACACAAGCACGAAAAACAATCCCCACGGCGTCGCCAGACTCTCTCTTCCATCTGCTATTGAGATCTGCTCTCGTCTGAGAAGAAGACTCTTCTCCACTACTGGTGGCGCCAATGGTGGTGGAGCTGTGTTGCTCACTGAAGACTGCCCCGGCGATGACGTGGTGTCAGAATGGGTCCTCGGTGTGGCTTGTGACAGTGGAGGTGTCTACTCGTCAAATGTCATCGCACGATGTCCGCACTAATGTGTCGCTGGTGTGTCCCCATGATCTGTCGAGCAGTTTCCGCAGCAGTAACAAAGCGATCATGAAGATGCTGTCGCACAATCAGACGATCCTGACGCCGGGTGTTGACCCTTGGTCTTCCACTACGTGGTCATCTGTAGTGTTGGTAGTCTGGAACCGTTGCTGGAGCATCAACATGGTCCTTACGTGGACTTGAAATGCATTGGCTACTAGCCGGGCGGTTTGTTCAGCTTGCAATCGTCCAAGGGCTTGGTGTCGCTGATTTCTTGTCAATCTTGGCATGTGGTAGCAATTCAATAACGAATGAATGTTATCCGATCTGGGTTGGTTTTTATAGGGCAAGAAATGGGGAACGCATGTGTATTCCAATTTGCACGGAACTCACGTGCATCGGGTTACCATGGCTGTTGCCGTGATGCGTTTTGGCGATCGGTTTTATTGTCATCTACTTTGTTTTTTATTATCAAATTTCATTATTCTGGACAAGGTATTGTTAAACTTTATAAACTTTGACACAAATTACCCAGATATTTAAATGACAACTTTTCATGCAAAGCTACTTGGGGTGACATTTCTTTTGTCCAGTTTCCAAAACTGCCGAACATGGCTGGAATTTCTGGTCTCGATCGTGGTGCAGCCAGTGTGACGAGTATGTCCCTTCTATTCCCCTCCTACAGACCGATCAGATTCCACCTCTCATATCACTTGCATTTGCCAAATGGAGGTGCTCACTCAAGACCATCTGATCGATGACCAAGATCTATATTGTAATATAATGGATCTTACCTCGCGAAGTGCATGTAATCACGTGAGCACCTTGATTAAAAACATGAAAAAAAGGAATATATCTGTCCACGCCCAGTCGACGGTACATATCATTTGCAAAATCTGCACGCCGAAATCAAAGCTGTTTACGAACCGGATGTGTGAGGCTGACAGTTTTTCATAACACAGGTGGATAAGTGTCATCCTTGCAAAAACGTAGGTTGTGCGAGGGAATAATAAATTATAGATTTTCATAGCGTATCTTTTCCAGGTACTCACTGCTTATTCAGCTTCAGCTCCTAGAAGCTAATTCACAGAGCAGCGCCAGCTCTGCTAAAAGTTCGGTCTCCATTCTTGTCCGGGCTGGTGACACTACCTTCTGTTGTTGTCCGGGCTGGCAGCACCACCTTCTGTTGTTGTCCGGGCTGGTGACACCACCTTCTGTTGTTGTCCGAGCTGGTGACACCACCTTCTGTTGTTGTCCGGGCTGGCAGCACCATCTTCTGTTGTTGTCCGGGCTGGCAGCACCACCTTCTGTTGTTATCCGGGCTAGCAGCACCACCTTCCGTTGTTGTCCGGGCTGGTGACACCATCTTCTGTTATTGTTCCGGCTGCTGGCGCCACCATCTGTTGTTATCCGGGCTAGCAGCACCACCTCCTGTTGTTGTTAGGGCTGGCGGCGCCACCTTCTGTTGTTGTCCGGGCTGGCAGCACCACCTTCTGTTGTTGTCCGGGCTGCTGGCGCCACCATCTGTTGTTATCCGGGCTGGTGACACCACCTACTGTTGTTGTCCGGGCTAGCAGCACCACCTCCTGTTGTTGTCCGGGCTGGCAGCACCACCTTCTGTTGTTGTCCGGGCTGGCAGCACCACCTTCTGTTGTTGTCCGGGCTGGCAGCACCACCTTCTGTTGTTGTCCCGGCTGGCGCCACCTTCTGTTGTTGCCCGGGCTGGCGGCGCCACCTTCTGTTGTTATCCGGGCTGGTGACACCACCACCTTCTGTTGTTATCCGGGCTGGTGACACCACCTCCTGTTGTTATCCGGGCTGGCAGCACCACCTTCTGTTGTTATCCGGGCTGGTGACGCCACCCCCTGTTGTTATCCGGGCTTGTGACACCACCTTTTGTTATCCGGGCTGGTGACGCCACCTTCTGTTGTTATCCAGGCTGGTGACTCCACCTTCTGTTGTTGGCATGCAGATCGTAATGTCTGTTCAGGTTAGTAAAACCTACGTTCTTGTAGGTACACGGGGGCAAGACGATTGAGTGATTTGCAAACAAGCACCAGCAGATTGGACATGACCAGTGATATGAGGTCGCGCATTTGACATCGAATATTGAACAAGACAGCAGTATTTTTCACATGCTGTAGCTTGTCCAGATAGTTTACTGAATGCCATGCAGGAGACGATAACAATTCCATGGACGAAGTCTGTAGCTATATATCTACTGATTTGTCTGATATCCCTTACATGATGGTATTCACATTGATGATCAAAATTAAAGTTTTTTCATAATTCAACTTGAAGAATTCTTTCGTCATCAAACTTGTGATTTCATCAATGCAGGATACACTTGTCGTAACAGGATGGGGTGCTTGCCGTAAAATGCGACTATGCTCGTCGTAAAAGTGTCGGGTGGTCAGACTCGCTGACTTGGTTGATGCAGGTCATCGATCCAAATTGTGTGGATCGATGCTCATGATATTAATCACTGGATTGTCTGGTCCAGACTCGATTATTGACAGATCGCTGCCATATAGCTGGATATTGCTGAGTGCGGCGTAAAACGACAAACCAACCAACCAAATCAATGCAGGCTGTGATTCTCTGGAATGTCTTTCAAACTGATGCTGGGACAATAATGTGAGTCCCAGATAGAGATGTGTATCATCATCATACATGTGAACACTGAGATCATGAGATCTTGCAAATCTTCCAACTGTTAGGGTGTCAAGTATTGGGTCAAGAATAAATCCCCGTGGCACTCTATATTACAGGTCATTTCTATCTGACAATATCTGTTTCTCTATCTTCAAATAGTGTGGGGCCACCGTCAGCCAGGTCTGACCAAGGAGGTTTTTGGTGATCTCTCTGAGCTGCCGGAACATTCCTTTCAGGGACTCTTGGGAGCGAAGCCTCTGTTAGTGCGGTTCACATCATGGACTGGTGATACTAGTAGATTAAGCAGTAGACGTGTGGGACCCTTATGACTACTTTTAAAGGGGGGGGGGGGGGGGGGGGGGGGGGGCACGGGTGGCCCGGTCGTCTAAGGCGCCGCGATTCGCTGTGCAGAGTTGCGTCCCTTGGGCACGCCAGAAACCTATGATTGTTGGTTCGAATCCCGGTTCGCCCCGATTATGTTTCTAGGTTTGTCAGCACCATACCCGTGCTCGTGGGTTTCACCGAAGTGGTAAACGTCTTAGACCTGCGTCACTTCGGGCTTTCCTCCCACATTAAGCTGACACGACGTGATATAAATATAATGTTAAAAGCGGCGTTAACCCAGCTCACTCACTCACTCACTCACTTTTTAAATTCCTATTTATCATCTGTTGCAGGTAACATTGTTTGCATAGCTCCCTGTTGTACAGAGATGACAACAACTGGACCAAATCTGAGTGAAGCGATGCTTATACCTATACATATTGCTGTACTCTGACATGAATAATGTGTTGAGGGCCTTCTGTAAAACATCGATTCCAAGTGTATCTTCTGAATATTTTGTGTCTGAATATTTCAACAATAGTTGACCTGAAACATGTGCTTTATGTTATAACCAATTTCAAACTGCTCAAAACTTTGGTAATTACAATAGCGACATATGCCATTGTTTAAAGTAACTTATTTGTTGGTAAATATTTTGGAAAATTTATTCCTGAAATCACTGCAATTTTATATTTGTAACAGTTAAATGGAATAAAAAAATATTTGCATTTCTGTTTCTGTTAGTTTCTGTTCTGAAGACTACCCTGTAGTATTCTTGATTGGTGTATTTACAGGCCGTCATCACAGGCAGGAATACTGATGTGTAGCGTCAGGCAAAACATACTATCTATGCAAACAGTGTGATTGTCGGGAGCACATTGGCCCTTTACGCCAAACTGAATCTGACTGTCATCATATGGCAGGAATACTGATGTGTAGCGTCAGGCAAAACTACTATCTATGCAAACTGTGTGATTGTCGGGAGCACATTGGCCCTTTACGCCAAACTGAATCTGACTGTCATCATATGGCAGGAATACTGATGTGTAGCGTCAGGCAAAAAGCATACTATCTATGCAAACTGTGTGATTGTCGGGAGCACATTGGCCCTTTACGCCAAACTGAATCTGACTGACAACCACATACCTATTTGTCAGACTATGTAGGTGACATGAACCATGAACACTATGAAATAGTGACCACACGACCAGAAGTAAATGGAGGAAGTGCACGTTTTACGTCCGTCTTGTCTGGAATATGTGATAGGCAAACTGCTGAACTCGAGACTAAAACGAAAAGATGAACTTGATGAACGTAAGAAACAGTTTGAGTGAGAGAGACAGCTGTTCACATTAAGCAAATGGAGGATGGAACAGCTGAAAGAAGACATGAATAGACATTAAGTTTAAATGCCATTCCTATATTCTTTTTTCTGACTCCTCTGATAACATCACACAAAGACAATAGGTATATAACCTTCATTTGATTTTCTTCATTTACAAACCATTTTTATATCATTTGAACCTAGGAATGTATTTATTAAAAAGCTTGAAGAAACGCAACTAACCAAATGGTGGTATTTCATCTTGCTTTTGTAATACATAAATTGCTTCAAATGTTCGCTATAAAGGACCAGATATCAAATACAATACCATTGCCACAAAACCCTTTCCATAATCATACGAAATCACTGCCAAAAGCAGAGTCCATTGTACGATTCCGATTACATCAAAAATGATGATGCCAGAAAATGAGGTGAAAAAGTGTGCTCAATGGTGGCACCTATCGGAACAAACATGAAACATAGTATACAAGTCCAAATATGAGTGAGTGAGTGAGTGAGTGAGTGAGTTGGGTTCAACGCCGCTTTTAACAGTATTCCAGTTATATCACGGCGGGTCAGCTTAATGTGGGAGGAAAGCCCGAAGTGATGCAGGTCTCAGACGTTTACCACTTCAGTGAAACCCACGAGCACGGGTATGGTGCTGACAAACCTAGAAACATAATCGGGGCGAACCGGGATTCGAACCCACAATCATAGGTTTCTGGCGTGCCCAAGGGACGCAACTCTGCACAGCGAATCGCGGCGCCTTAGACGACTGGGCCACCCGTGCCCCCCTCCAAATATGAAAATGCAATACAATACCATTGCCACAGATAAGAGAGCAGAGTCACGAAGGAGACGTACAGTAGGATGTGATAGTTTGCTACAGTAAGAAACTTAAAGTACTCATGGAAAAAAACCAAACTGTTTTGCTGGATTTAATAATCGACACAAAGCATTACGTAGATGTAAATACGAAATAACTAAAGAACTTGAAAAGTTCTAGTCTGGATTTGCTAGTTTTATCTCAGTGCTCAATACAAAATGTACTTTACAGGAGGTAATTTGTAGGCACTTTCAACATTCAAAAATAAAACTAAGTCCAAATTGACACGGCAGAAACAGGCTATAGGCATTATGCAAATTAGCCTGGATTTTTTTTAATCAAAACAACAATAAAAATAACAGCTATGTTTATGTACATAATAATAATGACATGTAATTTATTGTTTGAGAAGGGAATATGTTACTTTGAAGTTCTGATATTTTGACGATGATTCACTATCCCACAATGCCACTCACAAATCACTAACCACTGACAAATCACATTCACGTGGGTTTCAAGCGCCTGTTTTCACCTGTCGTCAAGGTGTCATAGGTCATGGACATTCACCTTGACCTGGTTATGCTCAGTTTCACAATAGTCTGTTTTGTTCATATTTTTACACACTTTTACGTGTAAAAAGACATAAAAACCTTTGATACGCTGTATTTGTGCCAATGCCCAATTAGTACTAATTGAGTTGTTTGAATATTTATATATTTTGTATATTCACTGCATTTATTTAAAATCTGAGATCGAAAAAACAGTGTTTTTTTCATTTCCGTGAGTACCTTTAGTATCAGCTGAGAAAAGGTGTGAAGAAACAAAGTTATTTCTTCATTAACTGACAGTGGTCATAGGATACAGGAGCCAGGTGTCAGAGAGTCATCCAGTCCCGAGCCAGGTGTCGGTGAGTCATCCTGTCCCGAGCCAGGAGTCAGTGAGTCATCCTGTCCCGAGCCAGGTGTCAGTGAGTCATCCTGTCCCGAGCCAGGAGTCAGTGAGTCATCCTGTCCCGAGCCAGGAGTCAGTGAGTCATCCTGTCCCGAGCCAGGTGTCAGTGAGTCATCCTGTCCCGAGCCAGGTGTCAGTGAGTCATCCTGTCCCGAGCCAGGTGTCGGTGAGTCATCCTGTCCCGAGCCAGGTGTCAGTGAGTCATCCTGTCCCGAGCCAGGTGTCAGTGAGTCATCCTGTCCCGAGCCAGGAGTCAGTGAGTCATCATTGTCCCGAGCCAGGTGTC